AAAATGACTAAAACCCAATAAGAAGAATAATTATAAGTACATTAGCTAGGAAGGTGAAAAATAGATGACATCAAGAAGGCTGATAAATCAACACTATCACCCTCACAATAAAACAACTATCCCACACAATAAACCTGAGCACACATAGTCTCTCAGAGCAGCACCCACCCACACAGATCAACTCAAATCTGCCAGCACAACAGAATCCCCACACAAATCATCACAGTTGAGTTGCACTCACACTGCAACTCAACCAGCATACCCAATAAACCCAATCACACATAATCCCTAACTGGAACACAAATCCCTTATTTACCACACACAAATATCAAACAAATGTCCCAGTATAACACAATCCAAACAGAAATCAACAGAAATAAATAGACAGCTATACCAGCAAACCCAATATCCCCAAACATCACTCTGAACACCAGACTGTCTATTAAGTCTGTATCACATGATGCAAAGAGCTACAAGAATGGTTCAGAACTCTCTCCCTTTAGCTTGTCCCCAGGTTCCATTATCACTGGGATTCATGGTCTGTTATTGGCCAGTTTTTAAGGTCTCAGCCATTTTGGGGCTTTTTAACACAAATGAGTTTCCAAATTACCCTTGTGTGACAGAAGAGGTTTTCAGCTCCTAGCAAAGGGCTAAGCTGATTGCCTCCACGGTAGAAGCTTGGCACAGTGACCTGGCTGACAGGGCAGCTAAAGAGAAGGTAACATTTGGAAGAAGAAAGATCTCCGACAAATGTAGAAAAAACAGCTCTAACTTTTATAAGCTTGTAATTAATCACTAATGGATGGAAACTAAAATGTTGCTCTCCTTTCCCCTCCATGCCTTCCTTTCTCCTTCTTTTTCCCTCCCATCGAGACCGTTTACCGTTCTTTCTTTAGGTTTTGTGGGGGAAATCAATAAAATATAAACCAATCAATAAATATAGAGAAATTTGCACATTTAAAAGTGCATTACAATAACTGGTTAACATGGAAAATGAAATTAAGATTTAAGCATTTTAAGGAGTTAATTGGGAAACAATTCCTCCCTCACTTACCCCAATATAAATCAGGAAAAACTGCACTGAAGCCAAGAGAGATGCACTGCTCAAAAGCTGGGGTAAATGAGAGAATGACACCAAAAGAGGGGTATCTTCGTCTTCTTCTTCTTCCTCTTCTATTGTTTAATGTCCCTATATAAAGTCCTACCTAATGCACCTGCACAGACACAGATTATCACTTTCACAGCACCATTCCCCATGCGATGATTTGCAATCACTTCTATATGGTTTGGTGCCCACATGGGAATTGTTCCCAAAGAGAATCTACTGTGGTGTTGCCAGGCAACTTGAACCACCTTAGTAACAAATGGCAAAGACGTCAGCCTTCCGGAACAACACAAGGTTTTCTCTTATGTCTGATAGAGGGATGAGTTTAGAATGGACAGCTTCAATCTGTGGGGGTTGGAAAAGCTGAGACCGAGCTGACTGGTCATGAGTCAAAGCAGCAGAGAGACCGAATATGATTGTGGTTCCTAAGGGATTGCACTGCAATGACTGTGCTGAAGAGTGGTCCCATGCTGCTGCAATGTGATGTGGACATGCAGATGCAGCATCTGAATGCAGATGTTGTAAAATCTCAGCCAGCCTCATGCCCCATGGTTACAGGTGACCCTCCATGAGCCTGATGCAGTTAGACCTTCATTACCTCTTTCCTTCAACATTTCAGTATGTCCTTCACTCTTCCTGCATGGGGGAGAGAAGGCAAATGTTTCCTCCTCCTGAATGGGTGTCTTTGTTCCCTTCTTCATCTCCAAGCCCTTCCTAGGGTGTGACCCTCCTTCCACAATTCATGAATAGTTAAAACCATGTTGTACACTGTGGCCAGAAGGAAGAACAAGGCCCTGTGTGGGGGTCTTGTGGAGATGTTCTGTTTCTTCAGCACATCCTGAACTTTCCATTCTATCACATTCAATAATAGGGATTGCTCCTCTTTTCCAGCCAGCCATCTTTTCTCCTTATGTCTACCACAGCCTGGAAAGTGCCTCTCCAATACGTTCTCTCCATGATAGAGATGTACAGCAACTCCCATTTGAGTGCCACACATTGAGGGACTGACTGAATTCTTACTGAGACAAACTTCCAGTGAGGTTAATTGAGCAACTCACATCGGTCACAATGAGGCCCGAGGACTCACAGACGATTGGATTTTGACCCCATGTCCTAATCCATTCTCCCTGAAACTTAATATGTAAAGGTGTATAGCACAGGTTTGACATCCCTCAGCTCTAGAAACTTGTTCCATAGCTGAGGGCAATTGGAATGTCCATGCATGCTGCAGCCATGCTGGCTCCCACCTCTCCTGTTTGGTGGATCAGTAAGAATTCAGACAGTTTTGTGAATGTGGTGCCATAGTGTAAATATATAAGCTTGTGTGAATAACACTCATGGGGGCCAAGGCATCAATGAGAACTCTTGGCCCACCTGTCTATTTACCTTCCCTTCTTCACTAATTTCAGGTCATCAAACTGAAACATTCATATTACAGGAGATGAAGAGTGGGGATTGGCAGATTTACCCCTGATGTCACCATGGTCCCAGTACAAAGTATCCTGAACTACTGACCTGACCATGAGTAAAATTTATTCCTAATCTGGTTATTTGACAACATTCTTCTTAACCTAGAGCTTCATTACCACCTAATGTCTTCAAATGTAACCTACACAAATATTTCAAATGAGTTCTAACATTAAAGAAAATGTGAAGAGTAATTTTTAGACCAATTTTAAGATCATGCAGGACAAAACTAGAGATGACCAATGCTAAATTTCTTAAGGGTCTTATTTTAATTATTTTATTCTCATGAACTAATTAAAATATTTACTTGCAAATTCATCCACTCTCAAAAGAAAATAATCCAAATGCAGGGAGAATGCACAGGTTTCTTCAGACATGAGTGTGAGTCTGAAGGTGCAGTGAATATCTAGGGATATGGCTCAGTGTCCTAATTTTCCTCCAAAATGAGTCAGATGGCTGCAGGTAGGCAACACTCAGACTCTACACTTGGATTCAAGAAGTTCTGATTCTGAGAATCATGCTGTATTCATTTAAAAAACAAAAAATCTAAGGAGAGCTTTTCTCAAGGCTTCCTTTACCTCCTTGTTTCTCAGGCTGTATATGAGGTGGTTGAGCAATGGGGTCAGGACTCCATAGAAGACAGAGAACACTTTGTTCAGGTCCCTCAATGCATCAGACTCTGAGACCAAATACACCATGATGAGAGTCCCATAGAAAATTGTCACCACAATGAGGTGAGAGGAGCAAGTGGAAAAGGCCTTTTGCCTCCCGGTGGTGGAAGGGATTCGCAGGATGGTAGAAATGATATAAACATAGGATGCCACCGTCAATAGAAATGGAGGCAGGGTGAATATGGAGGAAGATATGAAACTAGCAACTTCCACCATGTGGGTGTCAGTACAGGAGAGTTTTATTATTGGACGAAAATCACAAAAGAAATGGTCAATTTCATTGGGGCCACAGAATGTTAATTGTGAAATCATAAATATAAAGATGGAAACAGACATAAATCCCCCTATCCACAACCCAACTACTAGCTGGAGGCACAACCTGCCATTCATAACTGCTGCATAATGCAGAGGTTTGCATATCGCTAAATACCGATCATAGGACATCACAGATAAGAGAAAACATTCTGTGCCTGCTAGAGAACCAAAGACATATAATTGTGCAATGCAGCCGGTAACAGAAATGGTTCTGTCCCCAGTCAGGAGACCGGCCATCACCCTGGGCAGGATAGTGGAGGTGTAGCAGGTCTCCAAGCAGGACAAGTTCCCCAGGAAGAAGTACATGGGGGTGTGAAGGTGCTGATCCATCACAACTAGCACAATGATGAGGATGTTCCCGGCCACAGTCACAGCATAGATCACTAGAAACACCAGGAAAAGAAGAATATGAAGTTGAGGGAGATCCCCAAATCCCAGGAGGATGAATTCCGTGATGTTCATTTGATTTCTCTCATGTATGTTTGTCATCAATTTCATCTAGGAGAAATAAAAGAAATTTGCAATGAGAATCTAATGTCCATTATAAAACAGTCATATTTTCAATACTGGCTTCTCCCTGCTGGTAGCCATCTCAACAGTTGAGTCAAGAATCCAGAGGGTGTTGGCATTTGGGGTAAAAGTTTCAAAAAAAAGGCCAATGTTAATTGACATTGGAAATGTAACTACTGCCCGGTATCTCTATGGATGAACACATCTCACCTTCAGCTTCCTGAACATGTCTCTGTATTACTATAGCCACAATGTCTAAGGTTATCATTGTAGATTAAGGGGAATTAAATGTCACTACATTGGCTTCATATGGAAACCTGAGAATAATCCTGTTGCTGAGCTGATACTTCATTTACACATATTTGCACTGCAGAGTCCATCTTGCCCTGAGATACCGTGTGAATGAACCTAGGATGGATAGTTTGATTAAGGAGGTCTCCCAATGCTTCCTTTGCTACGGTTTCTGTGACAGTTTGGGGAACTTGTCTTTGTTCATTTTATCATTCCATTTAGTTTTGTAAATGTCATTTCTAACTGGAACCATCATCCTGGATGGGATTAACTCTTTTGTAGAAGGAAACATGGAATAGGTCATGGGGAAGCCATGCCTCGGTAGCAGTGACTATGGTATCAAGGGCCATCGACACTGAATGTCTTGCACCTGGTGTAAGAGAGGGAGTGTTGAGAGATACATGTCTATGAATATTGGCCAGATATTTCTCATATCCAAGTGCATCAGCAACACATGGGATTTAGAGGTTCGATCCAATCATAACAATCTGGTGTCTGTTTCGAGAAAGTAAATGATCCAGGATGTTATGTCTCAAGCTAAGTTTTCTCTTTGACCAATATTTGGAATTGGCCCAACAAAGAAACCCATAGGGGATTCATTAATCCAAAGTGGTGAGTTTGTGGTCTTTTTGTTGTGTGCTTGCTGCTTCACTGACATTATAATGTGGTCTAGGGGGTTTTTTGGTGGGGGGAGGGGGTCTGTGTGCTCAGCCTAGGTGCCTGCTAGACATGTCTGTAGACTTCCTAATGAGGCTTTGATCCCTAGACCCTTCAGCTCCCATTAACCCATAGCCAGGGGGTGAAGCTATTCAAGGAGAACAGAGATTTAAAAAGCCAGCTCCCAAATGATCAGAGAAGCAGCAAAAAGGGGAGGTTTGCAAGGGAGTTTAGAGAGGGAGTGGGAGAGCTAGATACATAAGAACGGCCATACTGTGTTGCCCAGTATCCTCTCTACCGATAGTGGCCAATGGCAGGTGTCCCAGAGGGAGTGAACCTAATAGGCAATGATCAAGTGATCTCTCTCCTGCCATCTATCGCCACCCTCTGACAAACAGAGGCTAGGGACACCCTTCCTGGCTAATAGCCATTAATGGACTTAACCTCCATGATTTATTTAGTTCTTTTTTGAACCCTCTTACACCTATCTCATAGACCTGGAAGGGACCCTGAAAAGTCATTGAGTCCAGTCCTCTGCCTTCACTATCAGGACCAAGTACTGATTTTTGCCCTAGATCCCTAAGTGGCCCCCTCAGGGATTGAGCTCACAACCCTGGGTTTAGCAGGCCAACGCTCAAACCACTGAGCTATCCCTCCCCCATAGTCCTAGCCTTTACAACCTCCTCAGGCAAGGAGTTCCACAGGTTGACTGTGTGCTGTGTGAAGAAGAACTTCCTTTTAATTGTTTTAAACCTGCTGCCCATTAATTTCATTGGTGGCTTCAAGTTCTTATATTATGGGAACAAGTAAATAACTTTTCCTTATTCACTTTCTCCACACCACTCATGATTTTATATAACTCTATCATATCCCCCTTAGTCTCCTCTTTTTCAAGCTGAAAAGTCCTAGTCTCTTTAATATCTCCTCATATGGGACCCGTTCCAAACCCCTAATAATTTTAGTTGCTCTTTTCTGAACTTTTTCTAATGCCAGTATATCTTTTTTGAGATGAGGAGACCACATCTGTACGCAGTATTCAAGATGTGGGCGTATTGTAGAACTGATGAATTAAATTGTTTTTAATTGTTCACTTTATTAATGTAACTTCATATGTAAAGTTTATGAATGAAACAACATTCAAAACCGGTTAACCCAATACCTGGCTAATTGACAATTAAGATGCTTGTTAAGAGCCACAGTTGTTCAGCCTGCTGCCTTTGTAAATTTCACTATCAATCCAATTCCTGCTTAAATCACTGAGACTTGCACTGTTTCAGTATTGTAACTTCTGTTCACCATTCATTCACTTGCCTACTGTCATAACTATTAAGGGAAGGGTAACAGCTCTCTGTGTACAGAGAC